TGTTCTCTGGTGAAAGGTTACAATGGACACACAATGGATGCAATGTAACTGAAGGGAAAGAGGGTTCATGTGGAACTCTTCTGTAAACTAGGATATTTGTGATACTAGATGAGAAGAGTACTAAAAGATAGGTATTGTCAGGTGCACGGGTAGAGAAGCTCACAGGAAAGATACATTAAAAGACATTTGCTGTGAAAAAAAGATATAAAGATTTTATATGAATAATCCTGCAAAAAATACACAGGTGTAATAAATTGTACAGTTCCCACTTTAATGCCTACCATGAAAGTGGCACAAAGTTTTACTGTCAGCCGACCAGTTTCATCCTTGGTTATAAATGTACTGAGTGTGAATGGGAAAAGGATCTGTTGCCCAGATGCACTGAATCGCTCTGCTGACTGATTGATGCCCTAAAGAAGAAGAACAGAAACACACAGCATATTGCTGCCTTTTCTTTTCAAGTCATATTCACTTCAAAGGTGATTTATACATCAAACACAACATTACGTTACCAGAGGGAAGATTTATGTGCAGAATTTCTTGAACTAACTCGGGTTATTGAATAAAGTGGTATCCATTAAAGAAGGCCGAGGAGCAGCACACAGAATATACTGTAGCGCTGTAGAAGCCTTTCCAAATACACCCCCATTGCTCTAAGATTGGTATTCACTGTTCACCTGCTGGTGAAGGGGTTCAGCTCTCCCCAGTTGGGCTATCAATATCTCAGGTTTCTGTCATCAGGGTCTTTGGACACATGGGCACACATGGGTGAGGTGTGGTTTGCAGCTCCACAACAGGGAAGAGATAGTGTGCTGGGGTTGGGGGCACTGCCAAGGATGCTGGCAGGACACCTGGGATCGATCAACTAATCGTGCTTTCCCTGTTTTTACTGGCCTGCTGGGACCAGAGAAGAGGTGAGAACTGAGCCAGAGGAAATATGGCTGAAAAGCTGCAAAGCACAAGTATGCTGTCATCGCCCTGAGCTTCCTAGTTTTCACCAGCTAGATAGCAAGATACGCGAGATAAGGTATTTTTCTTTTTTGTGTTTTTGAAGAATGGTCTCTGACCTTCTATTTGACGATTGTTAAACTGAAATCATATAAAATATTGTAATAGCTAACTAACATTGTAAACTAGCTTGATACACGCTTACAGCAAGCTTGCAAAATAACACGTTCATACTCAATTAAATGTACAAATTATCATACCATTTTAAACAAAAGAAAGAGACAACAAAGCAACAACATTTTAAGGTCCATATCCGCTTAGAACAATAATACTTCGCCATTACGTTCAGCCATGTCGGAATTTTCGCTTTCTCTATTTTGCTTTTTCAAAGTAATCAAACAATAATACAAAGCAGCCAGTAGAGGGAGCTCTCGGGCAGTTTACGAAACTGTAACTTCTAAAACAACAAGCGTGAATTATTGCTGAAAAAAATATCCACCTACACAGCATTGTATGTGTGTGTTGTACTGGGGTCCAGCTGCTCAACCAATTCAGGTTTCCAGGGCCCAGAGTCCAACATTTTTCCAATCATTCTTCATATGTGGTACAAGTAACCTGGCTATTTAGATGTGATCATCTGCAAACATCCATCCATCTGCTACCGCTTATCCTTTTCAGGGTCGCGGGGGGTGCTGGAGCCTATCCCAGCTGTCATAGGGCGAGAGGCAGGGTACACCCTGGACAGGTCGCCAGTCTGTCGCAGGGTTAACACATAGGGACAGACAACCATTCACACTCAGATTCACTCGCACATTCACACCTAGTGGCAATTTGAATTATCCAATCCCCACAAGATGCATGTCTTTGGACGGTGGGAGGAAGCCGGAGTACCCGGAGGGAACCCACGCAAACACGGGGAGAACATGCAAACTCCACACAGAAAGACCCCGGCCTGATGGTGGAATTGAACTCAGGACCTTCTTGCTGTGCGGCAACAGTGCTAACCACCGTGCCACCGTGCTGCCTATCTGCAAACAAAAAAACAAAAACACCAACAACAAAAAAAGATGTGACCATCTGCAGCAGTCAAAGAGAAAAAACAAGAGAGAGAGAAAATAAGCACTAATTTCAAGACCATGCTCTTTCCTAAAAGCCAACATTAGTCCTATTACCAAGAATTATACCATAATTATTATACCACCACATTTCTCATCCACAATCATCATGTCAAGCTTTGCCTCAAGTCATCTTATATAACCAAAAACAATCAACAGCTGACAACAATAATAGGAATTAAAATGCTTCAAATAGCCTCCTTCCAACAATGATGTTGTAATTTTGCAGCAGACACTAAGAAATTTGGTTTGTGATGTTATAGAATAAGAGAGCATGCTAAAACTAGACAACAAAGTATGAAAATAGCCCAATTAAACCCTGTGACCCTTAAACACAACATAACAGTGCATGGATGTGAGCGATCAGCTCAACCCAGCTCAGAAATGTAGTTAATTGTAAGCACATGCATTCCTCGTCGACAGACCCAACAAACTTGCATCAAGGACAATGTTAGATACCCAAAACACTTAAGTTTAATACTTGCCTTGACAAAAATACAGATCTCCCCATCTCAATTTTTCATTTAATAAAGTACCTATAAGGTAAGTGGATCAATTTAAGTTAACTTTGCACCCATGAATGAAGTAATTAATTTTAATGGTTGAATTGGGCTTGTATGGTGTCCCATCACACATCTGACACAGTGACTTGTTGCAGACACAGGCCAACAAGCTGCCTGCCAGCCGCTGGGCAGCCAAATGAGAGCGCTTGTTTGCTTGGCATTTCCATGGTTTCCATGGTCAGAAAGGAGGTCTTTGTGTGTATTTGTGTGTGTGTGTGAGTGAGTGAGTGAGTGAGTGAGAGAGATTGATAGTGTACAAAATGACTGAAACTGGATTTGGGGCCTATATTCATATCACGCATGTATATAAGCATGTACATGTGTTTTGTTTCTCCTGTGTGCATTTGCGAGTCTGTGCATGCACTGTGCTTGTGTGGGCTTATCCAACTGACTATTTCATCTGGCCTACTGTGCCAACGATTTGGAACATGGGTTCAAGCGCTGGTTCATTACTGTGAAATTCCAGATGACACTTTCTGGAAGGGTCTGCTTGTGCGCTAAAACAGGGTTCCATTTTTGGACAGAGATTACACTGGATGTATTGTGTTCCACGCTGGCATGAATGCTTACTTGACCAGTTAATTAATTTGCTATTCAGGATGGATAGTGACCACGAAAAGTTATCAAAGCTGCAAAGCTGTGCAGTGTTTCTGACAAACTTAAAGCAACCTCATTTCACTGAGTATTTCCCTAAAGCTATTTTTGTATAATTCATTTAATTCAGTTATATTTTAGATTTGAATCTTGAAGTAGCTTTAGCTGTGTGTCTCATTGTGTTTACTTACTTCATTAACTAAGGAGGCTTTGTTTGAAGATAAGAGCCTTCATTGTTTGACTGACCCTGAGAATTTGACTGAGACTAAGCAGGCCCAGCTGCTGCTTATTCCAAAAATGAATGAGTTCACATTAATTACACTGCTCAGAGACCTTGACCTTCCTTTATCCTATTCCCAGCTGAAAAGAAACCAACAGCTACTGGGTTCTAAATGGGAAATGGGAGGAGGGCTGGAAAAGGTTTGGTCTGTTTTGATTGGTGGAAAAGTTTTGGATAAAGAAGACAGATGGCATGAGGAAACCTTGCCACAGTTCATAAGGTTCAACTTGTGGTAACAGACACGCAGAAAGGATCTGATAATATCTGCTGACCGGTTTCTGCACCTTGGCCTCTGATGGTCCTTATATGGAACGGTCCAATCAGCAGACAAAGTTTGTTGCCAGGTGACCATGAAAACAAAATAATGTTCCTTTTTAATGCCCTGGAGGGAAGGTTTACTAATGCATTAGCTATTGTTTAAACAGCAGACAGAACATGTTATTAATGAACGTTTTCTCCCTGTCATAAACACACATTCAAGTCCAGTTCTTTCATTATGGCAGTCCTGGGCATATTCATAAATCATGAAGGGTTAAATGAGACTCATGTCTAATCTAATTCTAATTCTAATCTAATTCATCATATTTTAGTCTAAATGTAGTGTGATTTAGTGTTTAGTGAGTCACATTTTTAAAAATTTAAAAACTTCATCACTGGTGACCATCAGAACACTGATCTTTTGTTTTGTTGTAGAGTAGAAAGAAGTCACTTTGTAAGACCTTCTTGGACTTCAGGGGCACTAAAATAACTACAGGTGTGAAAAGATGATGTTTGAACTTTAAAAATGGAATTGAGACAAAGTGATGCTTTAATAATTGAATACATGTAAAATATTTAGAAATAGGTTAGTCCTGTATACTAATGCTCAGTCTGTGTTCCACTCTCACATCTGGCTGCCTGCCAGGCATATACAGTAAAATCTTGATCCTGAATAGAGGATAAAAGGTGCAGCTGTGGGAGCAGCAGGCAGTCAGACAAAAGTAAATGGAGTCATTCTCCAAATCAAGGCCAACTCGTTGGTCTGCTGCAGTTGTAACCCAATTATTCCCAGGCCACATGTTTTCAAAGAAGGGGTGTAAGGCAGAGGGGAAAGCCCTTCTTTTTTCTCCTGCAGTCACCCCATAAAACACAGAGCGTAGAGAAGCAAGGAGAGAAAGTTGGGACATCTTAAACATTATTCCGCATGACCTAAGGAAAAAGTCAGTATCCGATATTGTCTGTGGGTAAATGCTGGCATGTAGTCGTTTTTTCCCATCTGTGCACTCCACTAATGCCTGCTTTATTTAAGTGGTTCATGTTGAGGTAACTTGTTAATGAGTATCTGGTGGAAATGGATTTATTCCTTGTTCAGATGTAGCTATATACTCTACTGAGAATAAGCATATTTAATAATAATGTGAGTGGATCTTCAAAATAGACATCTAAATAGCTCATGGAGAAAATGAGTAGAAAAAGTTTATCAGCAATAATGCTGTTTGAATAATTATAACCATCATAAGTAACCAAATCATCTCAACATGTATTTGCTCAAAAATTATTTTATTACAACAAACACATCTTTAATCATCCAGACAAAGGAAAGCAACAGTAGATAAGTTGAGGCATCTCTTCTCTGAAAGGTGTGGAAATTCATAAAGTGGACGTGGTGAAACATCAAGAGCGGTTACACCAGGAGGCTTTTCTGTGGGACACATGAAAAAGGCCACTTCATCGTCCAGGGAAGAACGGTCATATTTTAGATCTGGATGCAGGACCTTATGAGTGTCCTTTGACTGAGGCAAGGCATCAGCAGGTGGAGGACTTGGTGGCAGTGGAACCTCATGAGGCAGTGGGCTGATACACCTTGAATCACTGTATTCAGAAAACACAGGGGACAGTGGAGGACTTGGAAGCAGTGGAACCTCATGAGGCAGTGGGCTGATACACCTTGAATCACTGTATTCAGAAAACACAGGGGACGGTGGAGGACTTGGAAGCAGTGGAACCTCATGAGGCAGTGGGCTGATACACCTTGAATCACTGTATTCAGCAAACACAGGGGACGGTGGAGGACTTGGAAGCAGTGGAATATTAGCCAGGAGGCTGAGAGGCATCAAATCAGACCTCTTGTGTTTTAGAGAATGAGGTGAAGCGTATTTCTTTTCAAACGGTGGAGGACGTGGAAGCAGTGGAACATCATGAAGCGTCAGCCTAATGAGCTTAAGCATTAACTCTTCCTCTTCATCACCTACAGACCACACTGTTGATCTTGGATTATTTCCACAGGGACCAAAAGCTTCAACAGGTGGAGGACTTGGAGGGAGTGGAACCTCATGAGGCAGAGGGCTGACACACTTTGGATTCGTGTATTCAGCACACACAGGGGATGGTGGAGGACTTGGAGGCAGTGGAATATTAGCCAGGACACTTAGAGGCATCAAGTAAGACCTCTCGTGTTCAAGGAAACGAAGGGAAGCATACTTCTTTTCAGAAGGTGGAGGACTTGGAGGGAGTGGAACATCATAAGGCAGTGCGCTGATACACTTTTGATCAGTATCGTCATCATTTACAGGGGATGATGGAGGACTTGGAGGCAGGGTAAGATCCCACGTCATCAGCCTCATACGTTTAGGAGGCGGTAAGATCCCCACATCCTTGAAGCAGTACTTGCTGCACACATAACAAGAAAAGTCAGCAGCTGATTATTTTTGCAACATATGATGGAAACAGATGTTTTAATGTCCTTGTTTTTTTTTTAAATTGAAAAGTAAACATACCTGTCACTGCTGACATCTGAGCTGCTTTGTGAGTTAAACCTCTTAAGATGTGGATTTTCCTTTAAAAAGTTACATATTATTATTGTTGTTGTATTTTTCATTAAGAATTCACATGATTTAATGTTTAGAAACAGACACAGTGAAGAGTAACTTACCACAGCTCGAGCCATTTTAGGCGTCTGTCAGGAGAAAGATCCACGCAGGATTTGGTTTCTCTGTGTAACATTACAGGACAGTTGCCATACATTTTCAAGTCAGTTTCAACAATGTATATCCAATCAAACTGTATCATTACAGCATTGTTTAGGTGATTAAATACGAAAGAAATGAAGATAAAAACAGTAACAGCTGGCAATCAAGGTAAAACAACCTTATGAGAAAGGTCTTAATCATTATTGTTTAAAAGTAAATCTTTCGATCCTTACTTCAGTGACTTGTTTGTCTGTGCTTGCTGTCAGTCGTGGTTTTGTGTCAAATAGTTGTAGTTTTTGAACAAAGTTTGCAAAGACTCCAATGTTGTGTCTGTTCAGAACCAGTGTAATGAGGAGACTGAGTGCAGGTTTGGAATTGTCAGTGACAGAAGAATGCAGCAATGTTTGAATTTGAATTTGTTATTCTTATTGTTTTAACAACAATAACTACCAGGATCATGCCATAGCAACACAGTGATGCCCAATCAAATGTCAGATACAAGGGATCTGACATTACACATCCAACAGGACAGTAAAGCAATGGGCATCAATGCAACAAGTCAGGCCTTAAAAAATACCTGAGTTATATAACAGCACACTGACAGTGTCTCATAAACATGATATTCACTTCAATTTAATTTTAATTAGATGGATAGATCTGTCCAGAGCAATATCCCAGCAGTTTAACTGACTTGATGCTATACTCTGATCAGGAAGTGATTTTTTTTCTTTTTTAAATTAAATAATCTTTCATTTAAAAACATAATAATTTTTGAGCAGTGTTTATTAAAATTGATAATATACATGTAATTTCACAAAATTACATTATTATTTAATTTTTGCATTTTTGATTATTTTTTCTCCTTCAGCACTGTTTTCATATTTCACTTTGCTCTCACTCATGCTTGGTTATATTAATGTGCATGTCATCTGTATATGGTAAAGTGTTTTGTCACGTCCTACAGAGCAGGAGCTTGTCTGGGGGCTTGTCTTCTCTTGTTTTTTTGCTTATTTGTTGGCTTGTTTTGTTTTTTCCTATAAGCTACAGTCCAATTAGCCCATCTTGAATCAGTGGAAGCTTGAGAAGTGACAAAAACCCATCCTTCACCTCTGTCTCAGCCAGTGGAAGCTGGTAGAAATGATACTGGACGTTAGAGAGAATGAGAAACCCCCCAATGCATTGCAATGTTTTGCTTATCCTCAGAAAATGTCTTTGTAAAAAGTAAATAAAAATCTTCTAATTCAATCTTCTAATCCTTTTCCATGGCAGATATGTTGAATTATCAATCAACAGGTACAAAGAATTTAAGGGAGATGCTGATTTTTTGCAGACTAGGTCACTTCATGGAATGTACAGATGAGTGTGAATGAAATATAATAGTTTTGTAAATTGTATTTTACATTTAAACACATGAAAAAACAGAAAAGTACTGAGGGATACTCTGATATTCATGAGAAGTGAGAAAATGTACGTGTATTGAAGAAAATGAAAAACTATATTAAGAAAACCTGGACAAAACAAAGAAATGAACAACTAACAAAAGAGTGCAGGCTCAATATAGACAAGATGACTTAACATCTGGGGAATAAAAGGATGTGGTTTCAACTGTAGTGTTCTGTGGTGTAAATAATGATGTGAGAGTGAGTTTGAAGAAATTATGTACGCTAAATTTTCACCCATTAAACTCTGCCGTCCTGTCCATTTTCTTTCTCAGTTACTTCCTTCAACCCGACAAGTGACAGATGACAGTTTTCCTTCATGAAGCTTGAAAGAAAAAAAATGTGGTAAATATTTTACTCCACTGGAAAAAAAAAAACTGACATGAAGAGCTGTCACTGATGGTTGATGCCATTTAAGCCTTTAAAAAAATAGTTATCAACTGGAATATATATTTTTTACAGGAAAAGCACACTTTACCCAAATGTATTTAAGGTCATGTTGCACTAAAGATGGAAAAAACAGGCAAATGTAAAACACACTGTCAGTTGATCATTACTGTTTGTATCTAATATGAAACTTTCACACTGTTAGTTAATAGAAATGCTTTTGGCCCCATCATGTGGTCAGTGCTGATCACTGCATTAAATGCAAATCAAGCTTCGTCTTGTCTTGCACTGTTCTTTCCCTATACTAGCCAACATTACAGATTGTCACAGACCAATTGATAATGATAAAGTAATACAAATAAAGAAAATGTAAAAAAGAAAGAAAAAATCAACTTGTGTATTAAGTAAAATGCAGCATTATTTCTCTTATCTGTTATGCTTGCTTTTGTTGTAATAACTTTTATGGATAAAACAACCAACAAACATTCTTATCACTGCTGCATTTGTGTCACATAAAATATTTTAATTAAAATGTTACTTAGTCAATTAGAGTTCTTTCCACAATGAAACAGGATAATGTGTAAATTCATTGCCAGCTGCCTCGTGTGCCCTTCATGTTTTTCTTATTGTTGCTTCATAAGAATGAGTGAGCATTTATTATTATGGATCATCTACTATGATTTGTAATAATGAACAAACAAGCCATTGTTATGCATGATACCGATTCTGTAGTTGCACACTGACCTCTGTGCAGCTACAGCAGTGGTGGTTTAGCAGCTCAGTGAAAACAGGATATAGTTTGTGGTTTCTAAGGTCACATTGTGAAGAGTAGCTATGATGCTTGAGGCACGGCTCACATTTTCTAAACAAAACACAATGTAGGCAAAGCACCAACACTGCTGACCAGAGCCTTGTTTTAATATCCAAGGATATCTCATATGATCTATATTTTATCATACACATCAAAACATACACTACCAAGCAGAACTGTAAAACATTATTAAAAAGAATAAAAATTATAAATGTGCAGATTATCTACTTGTAAATAAGTAATAATGTATGAGCAGAGGCAGCATGGTGGCGTGGTGGTTCATAAGATAAGATAAGATAAGATAACCTTTATTAGTCCCACACGTGGGAAATTTGTTTTGTCACAGCAGGAAGTGGACAGTGCAAAAGTTATGAGGCAAAAATTAGTTCGCACTGTTTCCTCCAAATAAGAAAGCCCTCAGACTGACTCCCTTATCTGGCTGTGACCTTTGTGTGAGTGATGTTTTCTTCATATACAATTTTGGAGTAAAAAATGTTATTTACAGCAACATCTGAAAGAAGTAACAACAGAAATGTAAATGTGGTGTCGTCACATCGTGTTATTGATGCATTAAAAGCTTGTAAAAACAGTCCAAGTGTTAAAGTATCATACCGCACAGTAGTGATGTAACAGAAATAATTCATCAAACATAATTTTCCTGCTTTACTATATTACTTTCTTTAATGTTTAATATACTGTATATGTGCATACATACTGATTTGACAAAGTTTTTGTTAATTTTCAGAACTCAAAGAGACAAATAAAGACATGAGATAACATCTCTTACCTTTATTAACAGTAAAAAGTAAAGTGAGAAGTAGAGCGGCAACACTTGTTAGTACAACCACAATCACCACAGAAACTGGAGAATTTGTACCTAGAAAAATCAAATATGTATGCTTTAAGAGTTGAGATCATGTAAATAAGCTGGATGGTACATAAAGAGTTACAACAATTCGCTGTACTATTTGTCCTTGCTTTTAATACAGCAGACTGTTAAATTTCTGAAACCCAACCTATCCATACAGGTGGAAGCTATAGATAAATTTTTTTTTATATTTCCATGAAATACAAACCTGTACAGCTTATAAGGTGGATGACGGTTTGTTCAATGCCTCAAGGCCTCAAGCCACTTGCAATTTATGTTTCAGTATCTGTAAAGTAACTGGTCTATAGAACATTGTTCTAATTACATAAATAACTTAATTTAGAACAATGCCTATAAATACATAAACTAAACAAAAAAATTAAAAATATAAAATAAATGAATATTTAAGTAGAACTTTTTTTTTTATATTACCTGCACATCTTATAAGGTGGATGATGGTTTGTTCTCTGCTTATATTGTTTTGGACGATACACATCAGCTTTCCCATCAGTTCACCATGTAAGCTGATGGTAACATTTGAAATGCTGTGGTTTTCTGCAATCTTGGGTTGGGTTTTTATCAACAGGTTATCATCTAAAAGCAAGATGAACTCTACTTCATCTCCTTCAGAGGAAAAATTGACTGTCTTTTGTTCTGGTGACAAACAAACCTGAGATACAGCAGGTTTTGACACAAGAGCTGAAAGACAAATATAGTCAGCAGTGTCAGTTGCAATATAACATTCACTGACAGCACTGCAAACTGTAAGGCCTATGTACACCTAAATGAGAGATACATGTAGATACTAGGTAGTAGTTATGTATGTGTCTGAAAAAATACAATAAATAACCAGCAATACTGCATGAAAGAATATATATCAAGATCCATTATGAATATAATCCAGGAAGTTTGTTCATATAGGTCTCCACAAAATGTATTTAAAAAATGCAGATTGCAAATTTTGCAAAATCTTCAGACATTTTGCTCAACAAAATGACAAAATAAATATAGCGTGTTTTTCAATTTTGAAGATATTTTCTTTCTTAACTTTTAATTTGATAAAATACATTAAAGAACACTACCTGCACAGCTTGTAAGGTGGATGATTGTTTGTTCTCTGCTGACAATGTTTTGAGCAACACATGTCAGGTTTCCCATCAGCTGACCAGGTAAGTTGATGGTGACATTTGAAATGTTGTTGTTTTCTTTACCGTTGGCTGTAGGCTGTAATTTTGTCTTATTGTCCACAGACAAAATTAATTCTGCTTCATCTCCTTCAGAGGAGCAGCTGACTGTCATCTGTTTGCGTGACAAACACACCTGAGATACAGCTGGTTCTGACACAGGAGCTGAAAGACAAACATATAGTCACTTACAGAGGCAGTACCAGTTGCAACACAAGATCAACTGCCAGATCATCTCTTGCTATATAATCTTTATAAGTGCGTACACATGTGTTTGAAATGTGTGCACAAAAATCAATATTAATTTGACCACTCTCATATAATGTACAGCCAGCAGCAATAACAATGATCGACATAATATGAAAACTCTGTTCATGTACGTATTTGCAAAAACTGTCTAACAAACTACAGGTTTTGAATTTTGGACCTGACACACACTGTTAACACTTTCATCCTTTTTCAAGATGAGGAAATTTCTTTTTCTTTTTTTTAATTTCTGGTTTTAGATCTGTAACACATTTTGTTTTTATGTTACTGCACATCAATTTGAAGAGAATATGTTTTTAGTCTTACCGAGTATATGTAGATGGATGTTAACTGTGTGCAATAACACGCCGTCAGTAGAACTGTGTGTTTCCATGTTGTACTCTCCAGAGTCATGTTTTGTTGCTTTTTCGAGCTTCAATGTTCCATTTGCGGAGACTGTAGTACGATTCTTGTATTTTTCATTGAGAACAAATAATTTATCATTTATTAAGGTTAAAATGTTTTCTGTACTCTTTTTCAAGCTTGTCTTCATATGTGGATTAGTAGGTATGTAAAAAACGAGTGGTTCTCCTAAAACTCCAGAACACGTCTGGGGTCCAGGTTCAGTTAGATTGCATTCTGAAGACCCTGGTAAGAAAATGAATAAATAAAGACATGGCATGCAAAAATAGAAATTAATAATGTCATTTGTTTAATAAATAGAAATTGCTGTATATAAAACATTTGTATTTATCATTATTGACAAAACTTATATCCCTAAAAACACCAGACCACATATTAAATATTAAGCTAAAATGACAAAAATTAATTGTTCCATTGTTTAATAAAATTGTTTTATGAATGACTTCAAAATATGCGCTTAGGTTATTAAAAAGTTGATGTGTACTTTGTCCCACAGCAGTCACTGCCAAAGCTACTGTGATCACGTAGATCGAAATCATTTTCTGTTGAGACAGAATCAGAATATCAGAAACAACAAAAACATTTATTATTTCGTGTTGTGCATGTGTAGTGTGCAGACAAATTCAGTTTTATCTAGAAATAGACACTTTAATAAACACTTCACTTGGATAATATAGATTATGTGTGTATGGATTATCTACATAGTAGATCAACAGGAGTTTATACATGCATATAGGCCAACTGTTTACATGCCCTGACAACAGTCAAAGAAGTCACTCACCACTTTTAAAATATGTCTCTTTTACAGTTTGTTGCCTGTGAATTTCTCACTGGCACCTGGGTGATACGCTCTTGTCTTTTTCCGTTGTGCGGCGAGAATGATGGAAGAAGTTATTTGCATTGAGTATTAATGAAGCTTATGCGTAATAAGGAAGATCTGTAACTATACATCTGTCTACTACCTGAGTGTTCACTGGCTAGTATTTGCTTTTCACCACTTCCACTTTGTCACGCTATCAAGCTCATTGCTGACATCACTGGTCTGTACCAATCATCTCTCTGCCCTCCATCTTTAAGCCAATCAGCCTCCAGTCTACGTGTTTTAAATCTCACTCCATATTTGTCATTCTCCCTTCCAGACTCCTTTACTCAAAACACTTCCTCCCAATCTTCGCCTCTTTCACGTTAGTCAGAGCTCTATCCAAGCTCAGAGGAGTTGTGCGTAATTCCTATGACACTGGGAATTCATTTATTATGGGCAATCAGAATCAAATTGCCAATTGATTGAACTATGTTGATCAAAGAAATCATGTTGAATTCATTGTTAGAATCTCTCTTTACTCAACTAAAGTACTAGAAGTACTAGACTTATTGTGAATGCAGTTACTGAGCATTACATTGATTTCAATTGATATTTATGTTGATTTAACAGTATGCTTTGCTATACCCTTTCTCTCATATTATTAAAAAATGTTCATTCTTATTTTTTGTGTACTTTTCATTTACATGTACCAGGACAAGGAGCCACAATAACCTGAGCAATAGATGAGAACTGGATGTAAAAAATGCAGATAAACCACTTAATTCTTAATATCCGATTAGCCTGTAGTGTTCGCTATGAACAGCTGGTGGTGCATGCCAACATTTGTGTGTGTGTGTGTGTCACGTGCGGCTGGACCAGACAAATTGACACTAAGAGTCCTGAAAGCCTCCAGTTGGCAGAGTTTTTCAACTCTTCAACAGCAAGTACAACTAAATCATCCATTGTTATATCAGTTCCTCAAAAAAGAAACACAATCACAACAAATTACTTCAGAGTTGCAGCGTTTGGTGATTCTCAGGTCCATAAAGGCTGCTCTGACCTTATGCAGTTTGAACCAAACACCAAAACAGATTCGTGGATGAAGCAGTGGCCCTGGTGTGTAGCTCTGCATTGACACTATGAACATACTATGTGCACTTTCTTATTTATCATGTAAATGTGTAACTATCTATCACTATAGCTCCCTGTTATATTCTGAACTGTCCAGATACTCCTTTTCCAAGTTGTGTTAAGAATATTATTTTGAGGATTTTTTATTTGTTTGTTTGTTCTTTTAAAACAAAGATATAGCACTAGATACTTATGTAAACCCCTAAAAGTTGAATATCATATCATTTATCTCATCAAGTATGTCTGTCTGTGCCTGCCTGACACAAACTGCACTGAGTAGCGGATGTCTTAAAATAGGCTTAACTTACTGTTGATGACATGACCTGGTGCTTTATACTAAAGAACAGCGTGGCAGACAGCCTGAACCTGTGCTCTTTATCTCAGGATTAATGTCAACTGTTTATTTTATGTTTTTAGTTTTTCTATATCGTGCAATGTACATTTATCACTATAGTCTGCATTACAAACATTTATGAAAAGAAGCAAAAGGAAGTATCAGTTAACACCCTGGTGTGAAAACCACAGTTTAAAGTCACAACTCTTTCCTGTTTCAGTTTCTCTGCTACAGACACACAAACATGTATGTTCCAAGGCAGACAGCACAAATCTGTGATCTTCATCTCAGGATTTATGTCAAGAGATAGAGAAAAGTCTGTTCACACACATTTATGTATAAACATTTGAGGGACTAACATGTTTATTTTAAGACAAAAGAAAGAATACACACACAGATATATTAGATGAAATAAATTCAAAAGCGATGTCATTACAGCACCTTAAAACTAGCTAAATGATCTGGTACAAAATTACTAAATTTCCCAGAGGAACCGACCCAAGGGATTAAAATACAATTCTATCTAAAAAGAAATAAACCATGTCACTTCAAAATGCTAACATTCCAAGGAGCATTTCTGTTGTACTTTTGAGTGTTAAAGCTACTAATCAATACTTTGCTGAAGATTTTCACGTACACTCATGGAGATTGTTGGAGTTGCATGTTGCCTTTCCAATTCCAATCATATCTCAAATACACTGGGACAAAATTGTGTTTCTCAGGGCCAGGATCTGAGCAACATGGAGACCACACAACACAAAGAAATAAACACAAGGAAAGATTAAAAATAAATATGTATAAAAGATGGCTTATTTTGTGAATGTTACAGTGAGTTTAGCAGCCTTATTGCCTCTGAAACAAAGCTGTTTCACACTATTATTGATTTCATGAACCAATATCTCCTACCAGATGCCAGGATATTGACAAACTATAAATTGGGCATAAATGACAAATAGGCTCAACGGTGCAACTTTGGATGAACCTTAGATATTCATCTTAATAGTACAAATTGAGTAGTGCAACTTGTATGTGTGTAGGACGTGAATGATAACAGTGGGTTATTTCACAGAGTGGCAGCTTGAAGAATTTGAACAGTTTATGTCCAGGATGTGAGAGGTCTGCAGATGTTTTCTTCCTGTTTCCTAACCCTGGACGTGTACAGATCAGGACTGGTGATCTCTCTGCAGACCTGGTTGTCTGTTGCAGTCTGGCCTTGTCCTGTGTCAGGGCTTAACTGAGCCAGACAATGACTAATGTGCACAGGACAGACTGGATGATGGCAGTGTAGAAGATGACCAACAGCTCTTGTGGCAGGTTGAACTTGCTAGAAGTACAAACTCTGCTGGGCCTAGGGTATACAGTATATGAAGACCACTTGAAACTCAGTGAAAAGGTGGATTTGTCAAGGTCTGTGTGCAGGGAGGCAGAAAAGGACCCAAAATGCAGACTCAACACAGAGGCAAAACTTAAACTCAAAATGGCAGCTTTAATGCTGGACACAAGAAAAACTAAACTTGAATATACAAAACAAACTTGGCAGGCACTGACAAACAGAAACATGGGGCTTAAATACACCGAGGTATAACGAGGAAAATGAGACACAGAAGGAAAGCACAGCTGGGAGTAATTAGCCTGGACGAGACAAGGGAAGCAAAACTAGAAACACTGACATGAGACATGGACCTTCAAAGTAAAACAGGAAACACACTGATTGAACTCTAGACATGTAAACTTGATAGAGACCAGGGAGACAGAACACAGAGACCTGAAACGTGGGACAGAAAGGCACAGAGTGGACACAACATGGAACACAGTGAAACCTTTTGACAAAACCTAAGAACTAAGACCTTAACAGCCATAACCGCAACCTAGGATAATAATAATAATAATATAATATTATCTCCACAGTCTTGTACAGGTTAAGCTTCCGGTGGTTCTGACTGCACCTCCTGCCTGTATGCAGACTCGTTGCTGTTCTGGATCAGATCGATGATGGTGGTATCATCCGTCAACTACAGGAGTT